AAGCAGGAGGTTGGGCCATGGGGGAGGAGGGTCGTGACTGGGCCAGGAGTTCCATGCTGAGGGAGAAGGATGCAGCAGGGAATTCTGGGCCATGCTGCTGGGCGGTAGCGGGGGGCCGGCAGTGGCCGCATAGTCCCAGCAGCCGCAGAGCCTCGGTCCTGGCAGCCCCAAAATCCACGGCAGCCACAGAGCTCCAGCCTGGGGAGCCAGGGCCAGGCAGACCGCAGTGGGGCGCGGCTGGAGTCCTCGCTGGAGGCAGCATGGGCCATGTTGCGAGGGACCTCCCTTCGTTTGGCAAATCCCCTTGGTCAGGGCCAGTCAGGTCCCGAGGGTGCCGGATGAGGGAGGTCCAACCTGTATTACATTGTATAAAAGTAGATTCCAGCGGTCCCATTCAGTACCGTGCTCACACGATAGGGGGCGGGCTTTATGTCGTGTCACAACAATCCTGGTTGTAACAGGAAATGAGGCAATGGCTGCACTAACGACCTCGCAGGACAAGACACACACACAGCACAGTGGAGCCGGCAGAAGCGAAAGATGATGGCGGTGCTACTTTTCACGTGCGGTAGTCGGTGTGTTTTCTTGAAGCCCCATCTCTTGGGAGTGTGGAGTGTCTCAGAAGCTTAGCTTCATTTTGGTTGGTTGGGTTTTTAAAATTTTCAAAGCCACCCAACTGGATTCTTTTATTTAAATTGGGATCATATTTTACGCCAGTCTCGTCACGCCTCCCCCAATCCAGCCAGGAGGACAGATGTGGGGGCGAGGCCAATGTGCTCCTCCATCCTAGCACTGCTCAAGCCCCCCCACCCTTCCCGATAGCTCTTACCACCTTCAGAGGGAGCGAGAGCAGCAGCACTGGAAATGGAGAGGCTGTGCTGACAGCTGAGGGCAGTTTGCTCTTCGCAACACTCCAGTTGGAGGGATTCCAGCCGTGTAAACACGGCTCTTCATTCCAGTTTGACCCTAAATCACCAGGTTAGGTGAATTGCCCCAGATATACCCAGCTCTGAAGAGCCTGGAAAAGGATGAACAAAGCCCTTCATGGCAGCACTAACCTGAATCTAATGATCTCTGTCGTTCACTCGTAGGTATAACCTGCTTCCTAGGATCATTGAAGCAAAATACTTAGACGCTATGGATGCGGAGCACTAGAAATGAATCTCTGCTCTCGGAGGAGCCATCAGCTTTTCGAATCCAAAGGAAATGGCAGCCTTGTGGAGATGTGGGATTATGTATCTGAAGTTCTCTCGTGTTTTGAACCTCCAGGCCCCTCTTTCTGCTCTAGTACAGCAGGTGGAGATACACGGACGAAGACCAATTGACCAGTCAAGCATGAGATCAAAACCGCCTTGGGTCAAGAGGCCAGGACTCTGCTGAGATTTGAGGCAAGCTGGCTTTCTGGAAATGTTACCTTCTTCATCCTAAAACTTGAAATCCCAAAGATCAATGTATTTCTCTTGTTGGATTGTGCAGGGCTAGGGTGGCCTCGCATTCCCTTTTTTTTTTTTTTTTTTTTTAAGGGGGATCCCTTTTTTTATATATGCCGTGTCCCTTTCCCCAGAACACTATTAATATGTATGGACAATACCCAACCCTTGCTTTACAGAATTACTGAAAAATTTGGAGCTTTAATGCAAGTTCCCAAATCTCCAGTCCATCTTCCAAAAGGATAGCCATATGTCAGAGGAGACCATGAGTGATCTCGTCAAGTCATTGATTAGTGGGTGGGCTGGGAAGCAAAAGAATATGGGTGTACTGATTTGTCTAAAGCTGTAGATTGTGTATTATTTAATTTTTGTGTATGCTCGAAATGTTTAGAAATTGGATTCACTTTGTGATGCTGGTGTAATTACAACAGGGTCTAAGCCACTGGGAACTAGATGAACCTATTTTACACGTACTTCTCAGTAATCAAATATAGAATTGTTGGTTTGTACAGCAGGAGCCTTTGTGGTTGTGCTCAAATTCACCTGGATGCTGAAATGTGGCAAAATTCAGTCATGTGCATTCACATTCACATATACATATGTACAGAACTGCCTATGTGTACATATATACATACGTAATTTAGATTTGTGTATATATTTTGCATATATAGTATACATATTGAGTATATAGGCATCTTCTTTCAAGATATTGAAAGTGTTCTTGTGCAATCAGTGTTACTTGTGCGGCCTTGACATACATTTGTTCTTTGCTTCAGTGCTGCTTTTTTCTTCTTCAAAGCCATTCATTGTCAAACTTCATTAGCCCAATTACTGATTATGTTTTTTAAAACATACTGCTAGGTTCAAACAATCCTTCATTTTCCTCTAGTCCTTTGGCTTCTGTGACCTGCATCACCCTGTCTGAATGCTCTCCGACATGTGAATTTTGCATTTAATTTTAATGTACAGTATGTAGTGAAAATTGGTTGATTCTCAATTGATACTTCTGTTTGTCACTTCACTGTTTCAGTTTTGTAGCTACCTCCCATTTCCCCCTACCCTTAGACATTACATTATATTTCTGTATGAATTCTAACTCTCCTGCTATCTATTTTATCTTCTGATTTGTTTAATTTTGCTGGTATTATGGTCAGTCTTTCTATACTTGAAGTACTGTGAAACAAGCTATCCTTTTGTGAGTTCTCTGTTCATCTGTAGTGCAGCTAGGGGCAAATGTTACCAGAAAAGAAAAGTGGAGCAACAAAGAGAATGAATTTTAAAATGCAAAAATTAGGATAACATTAAAATAAATGCAACCATATGGTAGATTAGTTCAGAAAAGTGTTTCATTTCCACAAATTGTTTGCACAATAATTGGCAGTGAGATGTATCAAAAAGAGTACATCGGCAATTTGCCTTTCTTTACCAAGTAAAAAACACAGCTGTCCATCACTAATGAGAGGAACTGGGGAAGAAAGCTAACTTACAAACCCTAATTCAAATTCATTCCATAATATTTTTAATAGCACCCAACGGGAGTCCATCATCCCGCAGTGGCCCACAGCTTAGAAGGAAACTATTGAGAACAGAGGGTTCTGTTTCTTTTTTGAAGTTGTGTGTTTCCAATTGACAATCCATTGGAAGGGGCATCAGTTTGTTCCTATGGGGGTGTGTTACTGATTAGGAGAAACATTTAGCACCAAAATTGCAGGGAAATAGATTTTCTACTTCATTAGCCATCTAAGTAGCATTGTCTTACCTTAAAAATGTAACCTCATGTTATACTGAACTCCTGCAGATAGACTGCGAAGGTCCTGGCCTAATTTGGCCCTCTTCATAAATGAAATGTGGGCATTGCTATTAATTTGTTTTTTACTAGGAATGTCTGAGAGAGCCGTGTTTGTTAGTATAGTGATTTCTTTTTGCTGTGCTAACAGGTCTGGCCCTATCTGCATGTTCAAGAAGACCATTACAGGAGTTAAAGGCAACTAAATTAAGCACATTGACTAATATCCTGGAGTCAGATCTGTAGTAGACTTGCTGTTAGTCATGGCAGAGGTTCCAAAATAAAGTACCTAAAGATAAAGGTGACTATTCAGCAAAGCCGTTGGTTGCATGACTCAGAAGCAAACAGTATTGGTAACTGTTTTCAGATCTCGATTGCAATAAGAAACGTTTCCTGGCTGTTTTAAAACAAATTCTTTCCTTCCCAGTGTAAAATGCATTAAAATGAACCCCCATGAAAGGAAGGTTGGGTGTCTTAAATACTTTGCAGTGGCGTGCGTGATGAAAACATGGCTGTTCAAACGGCACACATGTCGCATTATGTCATTGATGCCTTGGCTCTCGGTGCTTGTGCTCCTAACAGCAGACCTCACAGTGTGAAAAGCCAGACTTTGTGCCCGAGAGGATTTAAAGCACATGATGGATCCCCTGACCGGGAGAGGGGTGTGAAAGCTGCTTGCAAAGCAGCTGTTTCAAGTAAGAGATGAGTCCATAGGTGAAATTCATCTCTGTGCAGAGTATCCCTGAACTTATGTGTCCATAGGTTGGCCCTCTGCACAGGAGGTGAATTTCACTGTGTACACACAATAAATGTAGTGAGCAAAAAGCAAACCGCATACTTGCAAACTGCCTGAAATACTGTAGGACAAAAAGGAAAAGAAACCCCCTAAAAACCTTCATGAAATAGAACAGCTATCACCAGGTTTCTTTACTCACCTCGTAAATTGGCGCGCATTTACCACAGCCTGCTGTTTTTGTGTCAGAAGGTTGCATTGACAGACTGGGTGTTGCATTGACGGACTGGGTGTGTTGCATTTAACAAAAGCCCCTGCAGGAGTAAAATATTTTAAATGAGCTCTTTCTCAGTTTCCTGAAAGAACCAAAAATGCCTTTTACTTTTCTCTCTCTCTGAAAATAGCAGTCCAGATGTAGTGACAAATGCCACTGAGTTGAGCAGAGTGAAATACAGAAATAGTTACGCTGCAGCATGATTGGAGGTGAATTAACCTTCACTGCTAAAATTAGCACCTGGATTACTTTTCTGTTAACTTGCTGTTTTAGAACAGTTTGTGATGTAATGTCAATCCTGTGAGTATTTTCTTTTTAGCATAAACATGGTAGTTAAATTTCCTTCCTCCCTGGCGTTTTCACTATACATATCATGGCCCAGAGAATCAACTGATGTATATCAGCCTCGTCAGTGAAGTCAATACCACTATTTCTATTTGCCCTGATCCTCAACTAGGCATTTTCTTTTATGGGTATCAGTTTAAAAAAACAGACTCTGTCGGAATGTCTCGAGTTACATATGGCTCACAAAATATTGATAATGATCTTATTTCACCCCAGAAAAGTTAGAATTTTCATACACATAATCTTTCCCTTCCTGTTACAAATTAAAGTTCTTTTGCTTCTCTTTTTACTGACATAAGCAGGCGTTTCCAGGAAGTAGGATAACGAAGGAAAGAGAGTTTGCGAAACAGAACTATTTCTGCACTTTAATACCTCTGTGAAGGTTAAGACAGTTAGAATGTAATAACCAAAAGTTTTCTTTTATTATAAGCTCTTTAGATAGATACGCACAATGTTCTGTATCAATATTGCCAAAGAATTGGATCTGAAAAGATGTTGATTGCTGTTAATTAAGAAGGCCTTGTGTTGTATTCTACTGGAATCTCAAGGTAGTAAATGCTTATGAAATGACTGGAATTTTGTAGCCTAAATTAGTTGCCAACAGCTGCCAAACTTATAAATGTACTGGGAAATATAATTCACTTTTTTCAAATCTGTAATTTGATCCTGGCCCTTAATGGTATAGCAAGAAGTCATCCTGATCAAGTGGAGATGTGATCTTAGTTGATACATAGATCTGCTGGTCTGAATGTTCATTTTAAAGCTGATGAAATGCTGTTGTTACATTACACATTGAAATGGATATGCTGAGGTTTGTTGCATGTAGTAAAGAACATTGGCGCTGAATGGGCTGCAGAACAGGATATCCAGATTGCTGGGAAACAAACATGCAAAAAATCTCTGTCAAGCAGCGGCGAAGTTTGACAGCATTATTCAATGTTAAAAGGTAGCTGGTTACATCCCACCAGTTCCCTATGAGGGTAGTGGCATAGCAAACTTAAACTCCATTTGTGAAACATCTCAAGGTAAAATCGGGTAACTGTACTGTGAGAAAGGCACGTCTCTGATGAACTACCCATGAATTAGGGATAGAGTCCTCTAAAAACAAATATCATACGCTAAGGTGCTGAAATATGACCATTACATGCCCAGGGATGCTTGCCTTGACTTCATAGCATATCCCATTAGCAAAATATATCTCCCTGATGCACCTGTCCCCTAAGACATGCATCTCCCACTGAACCACCCGATTCAGACAACGTTTGGAGAGATGTGCGCTTGTCATTGCACTAACTGAAACCACCATGAAAAAACCCTAATTCAACAGCAAGGATCCTGGGGGAGAGAGGAATTTGGTTAACTGTAGATCTACAATCAGCTTTAATCAGAACAAATATTTCATTTGCCATCTCCAAGAAATCGGAAAGAAAGATCAGTGGAGGTTAGACTGGTGTATCTTCTCCAAAAACAGTCACCGTGTTCCAGATGTCTACTAAGCATTCATTTTGCGAATGCAGGAGTAGATACAGATCAAAGTCATCCAGATCACTTAGAGGGTCACTTTCTAAAATATGCCTTTATACCTGGAAGCTAGCATGGGTCTAAATTATTAAATTATTTCTCATGTGCATTTCCCATACCGGGGCGTGAGCTACTGGCTCTCGCTTCTCCTTGTACTGACCATGTGCTTTCCCTCCGTGGATCATACATCAGAGGCAAAATCTATTCTTCTGCTTCCCACTCCAAAGAGAGTACCAACATATCACTAGAGCAGGCCTCTCAAAACTTCACCAGCCCATACAAATTCTGAGCTAGCTTCCAGACTTGGGCCTGGCAACTTTGTACCATAGTCACACGTGCCATCTCAGACAATGGTCAATCAGTCATGATTTCTGTTCTACAATTGTGCTACTGTACGCCGCCCCTCATTAGATAGTTTGCTTTCTGGTGCAGCTCTTGAACAGAGCAAGTCTTTTCTTTCATCTATCGAGCTTCCAGAAATACACTTCTCATTTTCCTGAGCGTTTTCAAGAAGGCCTGTGGGTGTTAGAAGGAAAAAGCACATAGGATTGCCAATTTGATGTCAACTTGCTTAAAGAAAGCATGCCTTGAACTCACAGGCCCATCCCTAGGGCTCCAGACCTGGCAGATGCTATAGCAAAGATTTACCAACTAGGATTGTGTCAAGAGCTGAAGGTATCCAAGGTTGCCAAAGTATTTTAAGAGGCTCCAAAAATTCCTAACAGCTTCTCATATCTTCTTGTTTCACTGTGTTGTGTCCATCATCCTTAGGGCATCTCCAGTGTTGTTGCTCCTTTGCAAATGCACGTGATTACCCTTCAAGCCAAGAAAATTCATCTATAATTTTCTACAGACGAGTGCAAGAAACACGGATCACTGGCTCTCATTCTGAAGCTGTATGCCTCCCTGACTCTGCCTCTCCTGTGGAGAGAGTTCAGTTTCCATTGTAAGAGATGCAGCCTGGATGCTCATTGGGAAGAGAAGGCCAATTGTGCCTACACACGCATGGTGGCATGTGGATTCTTCTGGTGGTTGAGCCAAGTGAGACCATCACTTGGACTTGAGCCAAGCTCCCACATCTGGAAAGCCACCCACTCTCCAAGGCTAATCCCCACTTCTAAACTTAACTGATGTTCAACCTCCAGCTTCATATGCACCAGTCCCAGCAACATCCTCCCTGCAGTCATTGTGATGCTGCTTCCTTGCAACAGCGCTGTCTGCTTTGTCCCTGAGCAAGATGGCAGCAAGGAGGAAAATGGATACGATGACCATCTCACATAGGTTAATAGTCTTTGGTGCTCTGTTCTCCAAATGCAAAGAGAAGAGCTGGCTTGACAGGACCTTCACTTTTGTTACATGAGCAGGGTCTTGCAGAACATCTGCGTCTCGGGTTCAGCATCTGTTTCCAGGCTTGGTTGACCAAGGTCAGCAGGGCCATGAGTTCAGTTCTTACTTGGGGTATGTCAGTAAATGTTGATGGGCTTTTATTTTTCCATGTGGCTAATGTAGCAGCCATCGTGTCGCACTCGGTTTTATATCGATAGCATTGCAGCCGATATTTTCATATGTTTAACTGAGGTAAATTTTTGCAGCAGTGCATGCATTTGTCCGCTTTGTGGAAGTAGCTGACCCAGTAGGTAATTAAGCACCACGGTTTGCAGGTGATTTATTTTCAGGGAGCCATTAATTATGATCCATGAGTGACCCAGCCCTCTTGGTGTACACTATTGACTTAATCATGTGGTGCATTGTTTCAGTGAAATTCCTGTCAGAACAATGATGTTGTTATGCACACCTTTCCATTATTAATGTATCCGTTTCAATGTGTAACAGGTTGTAGCCCCCGACTTTGAATTTCAGATCTGAAGCTAGTTCTGGTTGGCAGCAACCCTCACTTTCAAACCTGGATGCGAAGTAAGAGGCCTTATGCCATCCATTGGTGCTTTTAAAAAGTGCCGCAATGATTCAGAGGTGCTGAGCACCTTCCACTCCCCTGGACTGCACTGAGATTTGTGGGTGCTCAGAACCCCTGAAAGCAGGACACTTTTTAGATGCTTAGACGCAGAATTAAGAGCCTGACTTTCAGCACCCGGGTCTGACAATTGAGGTGGCGATGCACCTCCAAATCAGCGACCATGTTTGGCAGATGGCAGGCTTGGATCCCAGGAAACCCAAACTTCGGGACAGGAAGTAGAAATGGAAGCATCTGGCAAGCCCATTATGTCATATGCTGAGCACGGCAGTTGGGGGAAGGTTTGTACCTATCTATGTGTCCATTGAGGGAGCATGTGTAATGCCAGAAGAATTTTAGCCTCTCGCTCGTTTAACTGAGTAACTTAGGTTAGAGTTATCGTAAAGTATAGTCTAGATAAAATGTTTTGTATTTTCTTCTCCCCTTCCCCTCAGCCCTACCCTCAGATCTTATTCCTCCATTTCCACTGATTCTACCCTGGAGATTGGCATGGGTACGGCAGAATCTCTTCTTGAATTCTTATTTCCCTAATATATTTGCCCCTATCGGTTGTGCTACGCAGCCAAATCTGTTTGCTCGGGTTTGACCAGCAACTAGCCTGTACTGAAATAATAGATGACAATTCCTCACCTCACCCCACCCCACTCCCACTCCCACTAGGAAGCACAGGGTAACAGCATACAGGTAAGCCTCATTGACCACCCAGACTAAAGGAGCAGAGCAGCTTTACTTCTCTGGTTCCTGAGAACTGATTCTTCAATCTCGTACCCTGTTTGCATATAAGCTAATGCTAGAAAAGCTGCTGAGCTTAGACAATCTGTTCCATGCTAGGAGATTGCGAGCGGTGGTTTTATTTTTCTACGTGTCATTTGGAAAGCCGCCAGTTAACATATTTCTGCGCTTGGTGACCAACGAGTTTCCTTGACAGATCGGCTAGGAACTAGTCTATAAATATTTTAAGTGGCAAAATACAAATGGTTTGTATTTACGGAGATACGGAGCCTATAGATATTGCACTTGCTAAATAGGATTTTAAACGCATGCGTCTTAACTAGTGTTGATTACAGTGAATGATTTTCTTTTGATAAAAGAGTTGCTTCTTGGGGAAGAAAATTCCTTTATTGTATAAGGAACTCTGTTGTATTTTGAAAACATAAAAATAAAAAGAGAAATGTACTGTTTATATATTTCTATGCTGTGCTCTGACGTATCCTTTTTTCCTTTGTTTAAATTTTCCCTCGCCTCTGTTCTCCAGAAAGTGGGAATGGGTAATAGGGGATGGATCACTGGATGATTCCCTCTGGGGCACCTGGCATTGGCCACCGTCAGCAGACAGGATACTGGGCTAGGCAGACCTTTGGTTTGACCCGTTATGACCGTTCTTCTGGAAGGACCGATTTTTCTCTTCTAAAACAGCAACTGACTCCCATGGTTTAACAAATGTGTCTTAGGATTTGGGGGGCGGGGGAACTGATTGAAACCCAACTCGAGTCAATGGGGAGTCATTTCATGCCATCAGTTGGCTTTAGTGTCAGGCTGTTAAAATCATGCAGCACTCTGAAATAGCACAGGGAAAATCTCCAAGATTTTCAAGGAGAGAATCTTGCTTTTCTCACAACAGGGTGCTGGTTTTTTGTTTGTTTGTTTGTTTTTAATAACATCTCAAGAAGCTCTCTCCCCGAGTTGCTTATCTGGATCCCCTTATCACAGAATCCCAGCAACTACCTTATCTTTAATATAGTTAGCCTGTGAGCTATTGATCCCTATTTACAGATAAGAAACTGAACCACAAAGAGGCTAAATGACTTGCTCAAATCCACCAAAAATCCTATGGCGTTGATGGTGTTGAACCAGATCTCTGAAGTCCTAGGTTGTTGTCCTAACCAATGGGTCATCCTGCTGCGTATTTCCCTGCTGCAATATTGCATACATGCTAATAAATCCCGAATAAGGTGTGCGCTGTTACACATGAAAGCCTAATTCTGTTACGCACGAAAGGTAGCCATGCTCTCTGGTAACCTGACACAGAGACAATTGTGACAATAAAAAAAAAATCCAGTGAAATGTAATCAGTCGGGAGAATGAACGTGATCCGCTTTTGTAGACATTTCGTTCCATTGCCCATGTGTGAACTATGCAGTGACAATCCCCCATCCTCCCTATCAGAGTGATTTTGAGTACCAGCATCCCAAAGAGGTGTAAGTATGTCAGTAAAAGGACAAACATAATTTGAGGATCTATAAGGAAAGAGCTAAGCCTTCAGAAAGGGAGGTGGGGGGGAAATGTGTGCGCAGGTCGTACGCACACCTAGTTACTGAAACACTGCACCGTGGTAGCATATGGTCAATACACATCTGGTTGGACACTGGCAGGTTCAGTTAAAGGTGCTAATTAGGCTAGGGAGGGATTCCCTCCACTACACACACATGCGCACTCCTGGTCTGGCTATTATATTAAAACTTTAGCATATAGGAACCCAGTCATGAAGAAGAACACTGTTGTGCTAGATTGCTATCCAAACAGAGAATGAAAATGTTTTGTTCACGGCTTAGAATCACAGAGCTGGAAGAGACCTCAGGAGGTCATCAAGTCCAGCCTCTGCCCAAGGCAGGATCAATCCCAACTAAATCAACCCTGCCAGGGCTTTGTGAAGCCGAGATAAAAACATAACGTTCTCTTGCTGGGATGCTACAGGTTAAACCTCGCTAGTCGAGAACTTTCTGGTCTGGAATCATCTCTCATCTGGAATGATTTTAGTTAGCCGGATGTCCACTTTTCATGGATGTGGCCAAGTTTCTAATGGTCCCGTAAAGTTTGTTTATAGCCGCCAGTCCTGGCGCTCAGCATTCTGTGCTGTGATTGTTTTAATTTACCCCTAAATGTCCTCTTAACAGCCCAGTAAGCAGAGGAAGTGTTGGTAACACTGCTAGACAATAATGACCTCTGTGGTCCAGAAAATTCTCTGGTTTGGAACCAATTGGGTCCCAAGGATGCTGGACTAGAGAGGTTCAACCTGTACTTTATAGTTAAGAATTCTTAGCAATAAACACACGAGAACCCAAAATCAGCGTGAGACAAAACAGGCTGCACCCGAAAAAACAGGCACAACTCGCCCCACCATACTTTAGGCTAGCTAGCCACTGACTGCTTCTGATCATGCATTTCCTTATACTGCCCCCTGCCTGCAAGCAAGACCAGGAACTTCCCCCTCTACTCTACCTCCCCAAAATGATCACTTGCCGTTGCAAGCCACAGATGATAATTCTGCAATTTGACAGTTGAGTTCTTTCAGAACTCTTGGCTGAATGCCATCTGGTCCCGGTCACTTACCACTGTTCAGTTTATCAATTTGCTCCATAACCTCCTCTAATGACACCTTCATCTGGGCAATTCCTCAGATTTGTCACCTAAAAAGAATGGCTCCGTTTTGGGAATCTCCCTCACATGCCCAGTAAAAACTGACGCAAAGAGTTCGTTTCGTTTCTCTGCAATGGCCTCATCGTTTTTCAGTGCTCCTTTAGCATCTCGTGTGTGTGTGTGTGTGTGTGTGTGTGTGTGTGTGTGTGTGTGTGTGTGTGTGTGTGTGTGTGTGTGTGTGTGGTGAGCTATTCTTTAAATTCTCTTTTGGACTTTCTAATTACATTTTACATGTGAATTGCCAGAGTTTATGCTCCTTCCTATTTTCCTCACTAGGATTTAACTTCCACTTTTTAAACAATGGCTTTTTATCTCTACTCCCTTAACTCTTTTTTTTTTTAAAGCCACAGTGGCACTTCTTTGGTTCTGTTTTTTGTTTTTTAATTTGGGGTATACCTCTAAGTTGAGCCTCTCTTATGGTACCTTTAAAAAGTTTCCAGGCAGCAATTTCACCTTTGGTGTGGTGCCTTTTTAATTTAACTAACCTCATTTTTGTGGAGTTCTCCTTTCTGAAATTAAATGGTAGTTTTGGGCTGCTGTGGCGATTTTCCTGCCATAAGGATGTGAAATCTAATTAATTATACTATGGATCCTTTACAAAGCAGTCCAGTAATAGTCACTTCTTGGACCAGATCCTGCACTCCACTTAGAATTAAATTAAGAATTGCCTCTCTTGTGGATTCCAGAACTAGCTGCTCCAAGAAGCAGTTATTTAAGGTGTCAAGAAACTCTGCACCCTATCCTGAGGTGATACGTAATCAGACAATACGAGGACAGTTAAAATCCCCCATTATTAAGTTTTTTATTGAATAGCCTCTCTCATCTTCCTGAATATTTCATAGTCACTTCCACCATCCTGGGCAGGGGGTTGGTCATATGTCCTTGCTGCTGTATCCTTATCATTAGTGCATGGAGTTAGCATCCACAGAGATTCTATGGTACAGTTTGGTTCACATAAAGGCACCAGAATCGTCTCCTCCCCCAGGCAAATACATAATTGAAGCCAGGAATAGACTGATACAAGTTTCCCCCATTTTTTGGCATCGTGAGTAGGCAGAGTTCTGTAGAGCTGCTGGCACTTGAAGTTTGCCAGGTTATTCAGGAAGTTTGCTTTGGGGGAGACACGCCATCTCCTGTGACTGGCATCTGGAAACTCCATCTCGCGTCGGTGGAGCTCGTGTTTCTGGGAGGCGCTTGGAAGTACAGCGCTCTCGCCCCACAGGTGGGTGACTTTCAGTTTCTCCTGGGGATGCTTGAACAGCTGATCACCAGGTGGCTGATGGGTTCTGAGCACCCACTATTTAATTGGTGTCTACGTCTCTCCTTTTCCTCGACTTTCCAGCACCCCCGTCTTCTGGATCCTGGGAAGCAGATCATGGGCAGGCAGAACATTTAGAAAGTGAATTTTCCTTCCCAAGGCATCGCTCCTGCAAAAATAAACCTGCATTTGAGATTACTTGGTCTCGGATATTTATGACCCCAGCAGTGGCAGTAGTTACGTTGCTGTGCCTTATCATATGGCAGCATACAAGGACTCTGTTGAGAGGTACGGTGACTATGCAGTCACCTGGCAAAACCCCATATTCTAAAGAATAATGAATTTGATCGTGTGTGTGCGCGCGTGCTGCAAAACGGTGTTTTCTTACCCTTCATTAGCTACTCAGAGTTAACTCTGTTTAAAATAGTACAGGTTGAACCTCTCTAGTCCAGCAATATCCAGAGCCTGGCATGATTTTAGTTAGCCGGATGTCACTTTTCATGGGTGTGGCCAAGTTTCCCACGGTCTCATAAAGTTAGTTCACCGCTGCCGGTCCTGGCTCTCTGTTCTGTGCTCTTTAGCTCTAATTTACCCCTACATGTCTTCTAAGGTCCCAGTAAGCAGTGGAAGGGTTGGTCATGCTGCTAGACAATATAGACCTCCCGTGGTCCGGCAAATTCTCTGATTTGGCACCAGTCTGGTCCCAAGGGTGCTGGATTAGAGAGATTCGACGTACGGTGAAGACGCAGCAACTCTGCCTTGAACCAGAGTCCATAGCTTGAGTTAAAGCTTTCTGCAGAGCCTGCAGGGTGAAGACGCAGCAACTCTGCCTTGAACCAGAGTCCATAGCTTGAGCAAGCTATGGACTTGCTCTTAAGCTGCTAGCTTGTCTTAAAAGCCAAGTGGCAGTGTCCTTGCCGCTATCTGATCCCGAGCTAGCTAACTGGAGGTAAGCACTTTCTCTTTTTTGTTGTGGGCTTGTGCAGCTCCTGCTGCAGCCCGTGCTGCCGGGAGCTAGCTCAGAGAGCTAGCGTAGGTATCTGTCATGGAGTGTGGGGGAGTCACCAGGCCTTGCACCCCCCCCATCCGCAACCAGACATGACTCAGCCAGCAAAGTAGAAGAGAAGGTTTATTCGTTGACAGGGACAGGGCGTAGCTCAGACTTCTTGTTACAGGAACCAGGAGCATTCAGTACAATCTGTTTGGGGGATCGCGGGCCCAGAGCCCCTGCCCCCCAGGCCAGCTAGCCTCCCTTCTCCCTAAGCTCACACACCCAGCAGCTCATCACCCAGCCCTTTAGACAACCCCGCCTCCTGCTTTGTTCCCTTTCCTGGGCCCAAGGTGGTATCTGCTGTCACCTGGCCCTCATGATGTGAGAGGCTGCACATTCTTCCCCAGTGAGTCGTGACCAGCTACCCCCTCCTTGTGTGTGTGTGTCTCTCTCTCTCTCTCTCTCTCTCTCTCTATATATATATATATATAAAATCACATAGACA